TTTTTTTTAGAGACAGGGTCTCACTATGTAGTTGAGACTGACCTGAAACTCACTATGTAGTCCAGGCTGGTCTCGAACTCACAGCAATCCTCCTGCCTCAGCCTTCCGATGCTGGAATTACAGGCCTGCGCCACCAAGCCAGGCTAGTGTTCTAAATTTTGATGAAAATTATTTACTGATTTTTTTTTTCTTTAGTAGTTAGTATTCTTAAGGTCTCAAGTCATGCTTGTTTGGGTCTATTTTTTGATGTTATTTTCCATGAGCTGTTTGTCTACCCCAGTGTCAGTACTACAATGTCTTGTTTCTTGTAGCTGGTTGTATGATGAGTATTCAAATCAAATAGGCTAAGCTTGGGCAGGTGATTTAGATCAGTGGTTTTGCCACCTCCTTTGAAAGCTCAAGGGCCTGAGTTTAGTCCCGGCTGCCAAAGAAATAAAATAAAATTAAAACAAATAGGCTAATCTTTCCACCCTTGTGCGTTCAAGTAAGCCACTGATTTTTCTGCCTGCTCAAATCCACTGTTGAACCCATCTAGTGCATTTATCACTTCAGTTATTTTGCTTTTTAACTCTAGACTCTAGGTGGTTCATCTTAAAATTTCTTTTTGTTGATATTCTTCTTTGTCTATGATTTCCTTTAGCTTTTTGTGCATGTTTAGGATAGTTGATTTAAGAATCTTTTTTCTAGTTTGTCTAATACTTGAACATTCTTATGTGCTGTTTCTAGTTTTCTTTCCTTGTGAATAAGCTATACTGTTCTTTTTTTTGCATACTCTGTGTCTGAGGGGAGGAGGACTAGGAATCAAATGCAGGACCTTCTCACTGATCTATAACCCAAGCCCCTATTTTTTACTTTTTATTTTGAGACAAGGTCTCACTCAGTTGGTAAATTACCCAAGCTAGACTCAAACTTTCAATCCTGTCCCAGCCTCCCAGAGTGTTGAGATTACAGGTGTGTGCCACTATACTTTCTTTTTTTTTTAGTTGGATACTTCATCTGGATTCTACGATATACACTACTGGGGAGGCTAAGGTTAAGAAAATCCCAAGTTCTAGGCCAGTTTAGGCAACTTTAGAAATATTCTGTCTCAAAATAGGAAAACAAAAAGGGCTAGAAATGTAACTCAATGGGAGGCCCTGTTTTCAATCCCCAGTATAGCAAAACAAACAAACCCAAAACAGCAACAAAACCTGGTTACCTAAAATATTACATTGGCTGAGTGTGGTGGTGCATGCCTGTCATCCCAGTGCTCAGAAAGTAGAAGCAGGAAGATCACTGTGAGTTAGAGGCCAGCCTGGACTACACAGTGAGCTAACGGCCCGCCTAAACTACATACGTAGTGAGACCCTGTCTCAGAAATCAGAAAATACATATATGTGGCAGCCCTGGAAGTCATATTCTCCATCTTCCTTGGAATTTGTTGTGCTGCCTGTTGTGATCATTGTTATGTGCTTGTTTGTTGCCTTTTCCAAACTTTTTATAAAGTCTCTATTCTTTGTCATGTGCAGCCATAGATGTATTCACTCTGATAGTTCATTGGTTAGTACTTTGACAGATTTACCTAGAAAGCTTGAAGCCAACAAGAGAAGGGGGAAAAAAAAAACAAACCTTGTAGTGTTTCTAGATTGACTTTCTGTTAGCAGCCTCCTTTAATACTTATTCAGGCCCTTTGCAACCCTACCTTTACTTTCTGTTTGTATAGATCTTGAATCTTGTCAGATGAGAAAGCTTAGGTCTCAGTCCTTTTCAGGGCTTGTGTTCACCTGGTGGCTTGCACATTCTCCCACCTGGTAGGAGAGTTCACCTTTAGGGGGATATGTGCTGAAATCCTACTGGATGCTTAAAACTTCATATAGTACATGCCTTAGATATATTATGTATTTTCATATTCATACAAACCTATCATAAAGTTAATTTATAAATTAAACAGTAAGAGATTAACAGCTAACAAATGGAAAAACTATACTGTAATAAAATGAGTGTGGTCTCTCAGAATATGTCATTATACTGTAGATCTTAGCAACCTCAGTGTGATTTTTTTTTTCCCCCTAAGTTTTCACTATTTCACTTAAAGGAAGCACTTTATGGTTTCCTTTGGGTATAGCTGAGTTGCCAGGGTCACTGCTTTTGGGCTTTGAGGCAGTTAAGGAGAAATAGTAATAGTTGCTTGAACATAGAAGTTATGAACAGTTGCTCTGATACCCAAGAGGGTGCTGAGTGCCTACCAGCCAGGTAGTGTATACAGGATGGATCTGCAGGAGCAAAGATGATTTACTTCCTGGGCTGGACAGGGCATGGTAGTATGCTCTTCATCAAGACAGTGTCTGATGTAAAGCTTCTGGATTGTTCATTTGTGGAACTTTCCATTTAATATTTTCAGACTAGCTAGAAGTACAGGTAAGAGGGGACTACTGTTACGTGGAATTATTTTGTTGGTAACATGAAAGTAATATTTTTTCCTTTTCTAATGTTAGGGATTGAATGGAGGGCCTTATGCATGCTAAGCAAGCACTCTTTATCACTGAACTGCACTGCCCTGAAGTTTTTTGTTTTGCGGGGGTTTTTTGGTGCTGGGGATTGAACTTGGGTCCTTGTGCTTGCAAGGCAGGCAGCGGAACTGCTGAGCTGAATCCGCAACCTCTAAAGTTATTTTTAAGTTATAAATTATGTTCAAGTTTAATTTTTATTTTCTTGTTTTATTCACACTTCACCCAAATCTTAAAATTCTTTTAAAAGAATTGGCTCAGCTCATTAAATTTTTTTTTATCTAGTGTTGGGTATTGAAACCAGGGCCTTTCATGTGCTGGGCAAGTACTCTTCCACTAGCTATATCCCTGACCCTTTTTATCGTTTGTTTTAAACAGGGTCTCACTAAGTCACCCACGCAGGACTCAGACTTTTAGTCCTCCTGAATAGTGGGATTACAGGGTGCGCCACCATGCCCAGCACAATTCATTAATCTTCTGTACTTTGGAATCAGCTTCCCTTCTCTTTTTCACAAAAAGTTTTATACTCAATATTTCATTTTAAGTAAGTGGGTACCAGCTAAAACCTACAGAATGCTAAATCTTTTCATGCTGAATGTTTATGCTTTTTATTACAAAATATAACTTTATTCCTTTTTACTGTAATAAAAGTTTCATAGAATTGACATGGAAAAGGAGCTTGAGTTCCTGGTGAGCAAACATGCTGAGTTTACATGCGTTGGCTCGCGGAACCTTTACCACGTTATGTGACATGGGTATAATTATACCTGTCACAGCCCCCAAGCAAGGTGGGAGGTGTCATCTCAACTTGAGTGTTGAGAAACCTGAACTTAAGTCACGCAAGTTGCCTGAAGCCTTGTGACTTCTAAGTGAAAGACACAGAAGGAAAATCAAGATTTTTCTGACTCCAAAGCTTTTAATCCCTTTACTATATACTGTTTTTACTCCACAAGGGATTAATAAATATTTGGTGAATGAAGGAATGACAAAGACAAAGAGGTTCTCAGAGGTTCTCGTTCCTGAAGCATGGCTAGAATTTTTTGTATTCATATGTTTACTTACTGATTTTTTGGTTTGTTTGTTTTTTTTTTTGTTTTGTTTTTTTGGTACCAGCTAAATCTCTGGCCTGTTTACTTATATCACAGGTGAAATTCTATTTTTTTTTTAATGTCTAATATTTTTTAATTAGACACTAAGATTTTAGTCCCTTTAATTTAAATTTTGCTAAGGTTTTTTTTTTTTCTTCTTAGAAAAATAATTCAAGTTTATTGAAGATGAATTAGCAGCAAAATGAAGAAAGACAAATCACTTGCCTCTGAGAAATAGGGGTGTCTTTTTAAAAGTTTTTTTCATAATAATGTTTGATCTTTTTGTTCCTCAATACATTTAGAAAACTATCTTTTTTTATTTTTATTTTTTGGTACTGGGGATCAAACTCGACCTTGTTCTTGCAGAGCAGGCAGTGGCACCACTTAGCTAAACCCCCCCTCCCTATAACAGTATCTTAAAGTATCTATAATATTATATTTGTTCTTTTTTGTTAAGGTTTTTCTATATTTGCTTTTTTTTTTTTTTTTTTTTTTTT